CACACACACACACACACACACACACACACACACACACACACACACACACAGAGAGAGCAAAAAAACCTCAGTTGAAGAAGGTCACTGAAGTACATCCTCTGGACTGCCTACGCAATGTCAATTGTCAAATGTGGGAAGGAGCGTCTCCACACTCTTGTAGGCTGCATCCTTCTGCCAGCAACTTAAGGAAAATCCTGGACAAGATGTCCAGTGTGGCATCTCCTTCCTCCTCCCTGAACACAGAGCGACCTGCTCCACAGACAGATGGCAAAAGCCGACTTTCACGAAGTGGCAGGAAGAAGCTAAGTCTTTCTCAAAGGCATTTTCTTAGTGGGGCACTGCCCTCTCCACATCAGGATCTGGCATTGGCGATAAATACAAATAAAGCTGAATACAGGGACATCAGGAGAACAGATCTGGGCTCACAAATGTGATGAAACCCCCAAGAGGCCACTCTGTGTGACAACTAAGCCAAAGTGACAGGGCATGCAGCTCTCCAGCAGGGGCAGATGCTGCATTTGTAAAGGATTACATTCTGAATGGTTATATAAACACCTACAGTAGGCTAGATTCTGCCTCAGCCCACAACACCTAAAACATTTTCAAACTGCTCCCTTTCAGAAATGTTGCCAACTAGTACCATAAAAGCCAAGCCTACCTCCTCACCCCTTAGCAAGATTGGAGCTTGCACTATGGCCATCAATCTTAAATAAATCAAGACACCACCTGACATAGAGTAGTGTCTTCCTTTAGACTGCTGCCGGAATTCCACTTTGAGCTCTCTAGGAGATCCCCGGTGGCCTAAACCAAACTCTTCACCACGCTCGAGGATGACATTCCATCTGGGAATCCCTAGGAGGGATTTGGCCACTCATTGTCTTGTGGGACTTGCTTTTGTTTTACAACGGCTGGTCCTTTTCTCTGTGAGTTCAGAAGCCTTAGGAAGAAGGAATGGTGTCTCTCCATTTGTTCCCGATGTCCCACACCACATTGGAAGACAGTAGGCCCACAACAGAGAGAAAAGAGCATGACCCAGGACCAGACTCCATTGTAAACAAACTTGCCATTTCTGGAGGGTACTCAGAACAATGTGCCCCTTCCCCAAAGAAGTTCTGCTCCACCTACCCCAAGGCAGATAGTGTTGCATCATGCAGAATAATGCAATACAAACTCTGTGGAGAACTCCTCAGGGACCAGCAGTTTGAACTGTTTGAATCCCCCTCCAGGGAGCAGCCCAGCTGGGCCAACCGAGGAGCTGGGAATTTTTAAAGAGAGTCCGAGTTTCTTCTCTTTGCCCCACCTCAAACCCACAGCAGGAAAAGAAAACCTGTAAACAGTGAAAAAGAAATGGGGCGGGGATGCAGTGCCTGCCTCCCAGAGCACAGCCCCCAGCTCTCTGCACACCTTATCCATGCAGAAGACAGGTTTCCTGCTGTGGGAGCCAGCAAGAAACAGCTGGATAAACAAGCATGGCTGAAGTCACTTGATTTCATCTCTTCAAAGGAAAAGGATGTGGAAAAGCAAGGACACAGAGAAAAGGAGGATGGGACAGGGCTAGAGATAGCTCAGCAGCAGTCTGCACCTCAGGTGGCTTTCCTGGTGACTGGACACACGGCAAACCACAGTGGTGGGCTGGGTGACTGCAGCAATTACCCGAATCAGTGCAACGGGGCGGGGGGGGGGGGTAGGGTGCACTGAGAGTGTGGAAAGTCTCCTGCTGTCGCCATCTCCAGTAGGAGGCTGAACAGGGGACTGGGAAGCCTAGTTAAATCATCTTGGTCTCTTTTTGTAGACCTGAACTAGGGGACCCCCAGCACCCACACACACACAGGCACAACAGTCAGTCCTGATTTTCTCATTTCCTCCACTGTGTCCCTAAGCATGTGCGGAACACTGCGCCCATTCCCTGGACACATTAAAGATGAAGTCCTTGTAAATGGGGCCAATACTTCATCAGACACCTAGATGAACCCCAAATCTGAGGGCAGCACAGCCCACCTCACTTAATCCTGCCTATCCCTGTTGCATCTGTTTTGCTTTGCCGGGAAGTCGGAGCCCTAGGGGCTACCTCCCAGATCCAATTCCCAGGCCAGTGCCAAATCTCAGACATTAGCTTTCAAAGCACAGAGAGGTCAGAGGTGACACTGTGGAGCAGGACTCTGGCAGGTGCCCTGCTTAGACACACTGCACATTGTCAACCAACAGGGCCTCTTGCTCCTCCCCCTAAGCTTCCCTGCACTGAAAGCCCACAGAGGCAGGCTTCTGGGTCCTTCTGTTTCTCTTGCAGATCATCGGCTACCAGAACAGTTCTTGACTAGGAGTGACCGGGCTTTCAGAAACTGGTTTTTATATCCCATCTTATTTATATCCACAGCTCTTAAATTTGAATTTAGTGAATCGGTGATAGGGAGGCCCAGCCACATTCTCAGAATTAGCCACTGAAACCCAGTGTCACCTTGAAGCAGGGACCACTGGACCAGCAGCTTCCCCAGTGAGGTTGTAAAACCACCAGCCTGTATCGTAGAAAAAGCAGCAGCAGGAACCCAGACAGCTCAGGAACCCAGAGAGAAACTGAAGCTGGAATAAGACTTGCTGTGTGGTTATACCACAAACCATCCAGCTGAAAGAGGAACAAAGAGATTCATTCTGAGTTTAGGAATTATGGGGGCGAACCCACAGGCTGTCCTTGAGCTGGAACAAGGAAACCCTTCCATATTCCCCACCATGAAGGCATGGCTCACACCTCTGCCAAACCAGGCTCCAGGGTAGTGAACAGGCAGGCGCTTCCCTGAGTGACCTTCCCCAGACTATACTCCTCTGAATAGGCTTCTCTGTGAGCATCAGGCTTGCTTCTCAGAGCTACTGAGAACAATAACATGAAGGACTTAGGAC